TCTTTCGATATCCAATGGTACAAACTTAAGGTGGATATCTCCGAGGTCATCTCTCACTGCGCAGGTTTCTCTAATGTTCCGCTCATGGGGACAAAAGGGGTGATCAACTACAATCCAGTACTCTCTCTTCGCCAATTAGGTTATGCCATGAGGAGTCCACCCACGACTAAGGAGGTCAAACCTATCTATTTCAAAAAAGGAGAAGATCCAGAATTACTGAAGAAGGTGGAGATTGCTTGGGCACATGTTGGAAGGAAGGGAAAAGAATTCTTCGAGCTAAAAGAGGTATTAGCTTTCGATCCTTACGTGGATTGGTTGAAGGAAAGAGTCAAAACTCTTATGTTGCCTTTTGAAAGGGAAATCTCTTTGTATCTTCAACCCACTAAGTTACAACACGATGTGCCTAAAGAACGCTTCTATCAAGTACAATTGGAGAATAGGGACCTTCACCAGAATTTGGAAGACAAAAAAATGGAAATATATTTCTTAACAGAAAAGAAAATGGACTTGGCCCGTCAGTTAAAAGAGTATGAAGGGGAAAGTAGTTCCAAGAAAAGACCCATAACTGAAGAATCTTTTGTGTCTACGGAAGAATATCAGATAGCCCTTGCCGATGCAGAAAGGAATCATCAAGAAACTTTGAAATTTCAGATGGCCAACAATAGGAACAAAGCCAAAGTCAAGGAATTAGGAAACCAATTCAAAATTGCTAGGATGGAGTTGGAAGCAAAAGAAGATCAAATGACCGAAGTGCTGAAAGAGAATGCAAGACTCTGAGACAAGATCAAGAAAATAGAAGAAGAACATATGCATATACCTTTACCAGAATGCAAAGAATGTGATCGCTTCCTAGTGCAATGTGTGTACTTATAGGGACAACTATATTGGAAAGATGTGGTGATCGATAGTTTCGCTCGTGGATGGGATCGTGAAAAGGCAAAAAAAATTATTTGAAGAAACTAAGGAATGGAGTGAGGAGTATTTCCGGCAAGGAGGGCCATTGTACTACAAAGAGATTAGAGATCCACACCATTCATTATCTTATTATCCCCTTTTATTTTCTTTTTGTCTTTTGATCACCACCAGTCTTGTTGTATGGGGTCATTTAGATTTCATTACAGTTTCTGAATCATGCTTGTAAGAAGTTACCATTGGACCATATGAATGATGTTTTTAATGAGATCAATTGTTAATCAATTTCTTCCCACCGTTTGTCTCTCTTATCATGTTGTTTAAAATTCCTAGGGGTAATAAAACATGGGATGTCCTGGAAATGATATAACATTGCATACACAATCATGCATTCATGCATATCATAATATGAGAAATAATTATGGCAGGTCTTCTTATTTTTTGATTTGGGCCTCCCCTTTGCAGAAGATAGCCACTACGAATTCCCATAGTTATAATACTCGAAGCACCGCCAAAAGACAAATGGAACAAATTCAAGCAGATGTTATGGCTATGGGAAACAGGATGGATACTCGAGTCGATCAGTTGATGGAGATTATTCAGAACATGGTTTGTCAACAGGAGGAAATGAGGGCTATGATTGTGAGGCCTGCTGAAGCATTGAATAATAGGGGTGAAATTCCCAATGCTTGTCCACCAGGGGTCGTCATCAATAATCCTAACAGTATTCCAGGAGCTCAGAATGCAGTGGAGAATCCGGGAGGAACTAGAAATGTGAATATCGGTTTGAATACCTAAAATGGTCAACATGCGAATTTCAGCAACCTTACAGGTAACCAAGGCATCCTTGGGAATCAAGCTATGGGAAACCCTCCCCCACTCACTCCTGCTCATCAGAATACTGAACAACCTACTATACTACCAAGGCATGTTCGCATACTTGTTAGGCCGGTGGAAGAAGATAATTGGGAAGACTGGATGACTAATGTGGAAGAACCAACTGAAGATAGCAAGAAGTTGCATATGCTTGAATAACGGATGCGCCAGTTTGAAAGTCAAGGTACAGTAGGATTTGACATGTTTGACTTAGGCTTGGTGCCCGGAGTAAAGATTCCCCCAAAATTCAAGGTGCCTAATTTCGTAAAGTACAAAGGCACTTCCTGTCCAAAAACCCATGTTAAGTCTTTCTATCCGAAGATGTCCGCATATTCCAACGACGAGAAGCTATTGATGCACTACTTCCAAGATAGTTTGACAGGTGGTCCACTCGAATGGTACATGCAGCTGGAAAGTAGTCGTATCTACACATGGAGAGAATTGATTGAAGCATTTGTTTTGCACTATCAGTATAATACTGACATGGTGCCCACAAGAACCCAACTGCAGAACTCATCCCAGAAACGAGATAAGTCTTTCAAAGAGTACGCCCAGAGGTGGCAAGAGATGGCTGCAAAAGTGCAACCTCCCATGTTAGAATGAGAAATGGTAGAGATGTTTAGTAGTATGTTGTAAGGCCAGTATTACACAACCTGTAGCATATAAGGTACTTTTGCTGAGATGGTAACACACGGGGAGCGGATTGAGATCGAAATTAAATTGGGGAAAATCCAAGATGTCCCAGTTGGGAATAGTGCTGGCAATACTAAGAAGTCTTTCGGGGGCCACCCAAAGAAAAAGGAAGGAGAATCTGGTGCGATCTATACTCAGAAAGGGAAGGGCAGATATTGAGATTACAACCATCGGGCTGCTGCTGTAACGATTCCAATAGCTCCCCCTCAACGTCCAGCATATACACCTCGCCAAGGCTACCAACATAAGCTAAAACAGCCTCCTAGAAAGTTCGACACAATTCCCATTTCCTATACAGAATTACTACCCCAGTTACTAGATTTAAAGTTGGTCGAGAAACGTACAATGCAGATTAACGCTGATAGACTGCCGCCAAATTTCAATGTTAATGCTACATGTGAGTTTCATTCTGGAGCACAAGGGCATACATTGAGTGTTGCAAGATGCCAAATTTGATTTGTTTGTATTTTGTTACCTTTAAAAAGGGTTTAAGTATGATTAGCATGCTTTTGATTTGCTAAGAAAAGAAGTTTTAGTTTTAAATTCAAGGATGCAAAAGGGGAAGAAAAGAGTCTAACGAAGACTAGCCTATTTCTAACCTAATGTTATCATACAATGGTAGTCCTATGTCAAGGATGAAAGGGAAATCTCTACCTAATCTTAGAATGAATGGCTTACAACCTAAGGTCTAACTCGCATCCGAACGGAGCAAGCACATCCTAAGGGAACATGGTATGTACAAGGATAAAGCAAGCAAGCTTGAAGAAGCACACACATAAAATAGTAAGTAAAAGAAGAGAAATGCTTTAGCCAAGGGGAGCGTATCACCCGAGACAAACAAGCGGGAGTGAGATGAAAAAATAAAAAGGTGATGTCTAAAGCGACTGAACACCTAACCAAGATATATAAGATCAAGGTAGACGACAGAAGACGATATGAACAATCGTAAAGTATCAGCATCGGCCAGTGCGAACTCCTGACAAAATATGGGGGTTCGATTGTGGAATCCTTCCCCACTTGACGACTCGATAACAAGAGTAGGCACAACTCTGAAGCTTCGTGGTACATGACGAGCTAAGGATGACACAAACGAAATTGCGGGGGTTGATTGCTAACCCTCCCTACTCTCCTCCTTTTGAGGACTTAAATAAGGGATGAGGGAATAACATGGGCACAAATATAAACACACCTGGAGAATACCTACTCAAAGGTAGGGTTTTAAACAAACCACACACATGTAGCAAACAGAATGCACACAATGCGGAATTTCCCTAAACGAGTATTTAAATAAATCAGAGGGGTTCTTGACATAATCAGCAACGGAGACCCCCGTCATGCATCTCTACCCTACTTCTCATGGCATCATAAATCGGTAAAGACCTACTTCTCCTGATATCTAGAAAGCGGTAAAGAAATGTAGTAAAGTGCGAAGAAGTACGAAGGTAGTAGCGGCGACTACCAAAGCAAGCAAGTCGTCAAGAGAAGACGAAAGCACTTAAGAAGCAAGGAATACGCATCGAGCAAGATTCACCAAGAAACAAACAAAGTCAAAAATTAGATCTAACTAAGATAAAGTCAAATGCGTGTTGCAAATGCAACGCGTAATCAGAAGTTCATGTGCAAAGTATCACAAAGTATAGTAGTATCAAGACAACATATAATACACTATGAATTTCTCAGGATGATGAGAAATAAGACGTGTCACATCAGAAGCGAGCATAAGTCGTATGCTTCGATCATATAACTACCTGTTATGTTACATGATCGAAAACACTAAAATGTACCTTTCACAGTGAACAAACACGTCAAAAATAACGAGGCACGATGGTATGAAATATGAATAAAAACTAAAAGAAAAAGAAGTATTTTTTATTAGTTTTTTAGAAACTAAAAGGAAAAGAAGTATTTTTATTATTAGTTTTTTTATATAAATAAAATTCTAGAAAAATAAAAGAATTAATTCCTAAAAATTTCTATTATACTGTACCATTTTTTTTATTGTTTTTATTATTCTTTTTATCATGACAAAATATAGAAAAATTAAAAGAAAATCTTAAAACAAATAGAAAGAGTCAGGGGGTAAAAATTAAAATCCAAGGGTTTTGGGCTAGCAATCCAGGCGTTGATCCAAGCACAATATACGCCCTAAGGCCTTTTTTTTTAATATCAATCAGACTGCAAAAAAGAGCGCTCTTGGGTCTAAGAGGAGACCTGTTTTGGCCCATTTAATCATTACCACCAGCCACTTTCTCTTTTTTGTACGCATCAGGTCCTCAAATAAAAATACGATGGGCTCAAGGGAAAGTGATTTGGCCCAGTACACAACAATTCCAGATTTTATGAATCCCTTATGTCTTAAAACATAAACGGGCCTAAGCAAGTGCAGGCAACCCGATCCATTACCAAACCCAACATTATTCAACTTTATTATTTATTTTTTATTTATTGAATGATAAACTAAGGGACGAAAACTAGTCTCAAAATGGTGCGTTTGGTGGAGGAGAAATTGGGTTCATATTATGACTCTTGGAATCCAATCGAAACAGAGGAATTTATTCTTTCCCACTTTGCGCACGGCGGCGGCTTCATCCTCCTTCCTCAATTTTTCTGCCTTCTCTCACTTCTCTTCCGACCAACACGCCGCTGCGCGCCCTCCGCTCATCAATTCACCTTCATCGCTTCATCTTTGTCCCAATACCTCACCTTTGTCTCATCATTTGACTCACTACAATCATGATTCGCTTCACTCTCATTTCATCGATCCAGATATAAACCTCAAAAAAATCTCAAACTCGAAGAATATTAAGCGTAAAGTTAAGGTTCTGAGCACAACGACTCCATCGACCGGATACTTCATAAAAAGTGAAGGGAAATGTAAGTATTGTAACTTACCTACCGGAAGCAAACTCCGGTGACTCTTTCGATCTATGTTGGTGATGCAAAACTGGAAATTCACATGAGACGCTCAAATATGCACATATTCTGTCCCAATCTTCTTCTTCGTGAATCGCATTTCTTCTGCCTTAATTCTGCATTGTTGGTACGCTCTTGCTGAAGAACTATTGTTTGTTGATGTTGAATGCAGAGAGATGATGACGGAGATGGTGCACGAGTAGTTATTGTTTGCAGAGAGAATGAAGATGAAGAAAGGTTGCGGAGATGAGGATTTCCAAAGTAGTGAAGTTGCTTTTAAACCTTGAGGATGCAGAGAGAGTGCAAAAAACTCAGAAAGAATAGCGTGAAGATTTTTCTGGTGACTTGTAAAATGATCGTCTATCCCTGAAGATTGAAGATAAAAAAGCTTATATAGTTTGATAGAGTTTGTTACAGAGAAGTAAATCCCACCCCTTGGATTTGACTTTCTGTTACATGATTGAATGGTGAGGATGGAGTCAGCTATGAGGGTTTGTTGAAGGTCCCGATGTGGTACATAGAGAGGTAAGTTCCTTTTAATTTTCTGTTATCTTCTGTTGGAATTCCTCTTCTATCAGAAGTTTTGTTGCAGTTAAGGGTTATCAGTTCTGTTTATTTTGCTGTTAGTAAATCCATTTGGGAAATTGGTTATATGCTTTTTGTTAGAGGCCAGTTGGAGATCCTTTTTAGAGTCCATCCTGTTTTGGTTGTTATAGGTTGGTAGGAGTTGTGAATCCGTTGGAAGTTTTTTCTGTTATAGGTGGTTATGTTAGTTAGAGTTTCGGTTAGGCTTGGTTACAATTAGGAAGCTAGTTTATGTTTGGTTATTTTGCTTTCTATTAGAAGGGTAGTTAGAAGGATTTAGAGGAACTGTTAGGAGTTATCTAGGGAAGTTAGTTAGAATCCTCGTTAATGCGGTTAGGGAATTAGTTCGGTTATAGACAGTTAACTAGATGGTTGAAACTGTTAGAATATAATAATTCTATTTTTGTTTAACTGTTTCTTTTCTAACTTAATTCTCTTTCTATTTTCATTTTCTATAGCAGGGTCATGGTTTGCCCATGGTTTTTCATGATGAATTTTGCGGAAAAGTTTATAGCGGGTGAGGTATAGCAAAGCTCTTCTGAACATGGCACTATTTGTCTTTGTGTGTGAGTGACAGGATGTATTTGGTTGATCATTTGAAACAAGGCTGGAATTACAGGGCAATGGTTAACTGAATTCTTTGTTTTGACTGTGCAAGACTGATTTTGAGTCCTAGCTTAATGTTGATGAATATGTGAAGTTGGTGAACTCTTGGAAGAAGCATGAAGATAGGTGGAGAAACTCTTGGGCATAGAGTGTTAAAAAGATGAAGTCATGATAGAGCTTAGGATGAAACTTAGGTCCAAACCAAATTTTGTGTAATTTTCTTGATCATGTAATATAATTGAAAAGGGGATATAATTTGGTATTTCATTTAGTAATAGGAATGCTCTCTCAAATCAAGTGTCGAATGATCTTAGAACTCCTTAAATTCAAATGAAGTATTCTCCCGAACATTCAAAGTGCTTCTTTGCTTCTTTCTTGTATTTTGACATTCCATTTTCCTTGTGATGGCTTCTTATTAAATTTCTTTCTATTTTTTAATTCAAATATTCTTCATACTTAAACATCTTCAAATGCCAAGTACAAATTCAAATATATTTTCCACGTGACTTGGTACATAAAAATCCATCTTCAAAAGTCAGCTTTCTAGCCAAATGAAAACATCCCCACTCTTGCATTTTGAGCCAATGTATTTACTTGAATTAGATCAATGGATAACAGCCAATTTTTATGGTTAAAGTAGAGAAAGAGTTTCATAAGACTTGGTCAACTATGAAATGAATATCTTTCAAATCCTCTTTTCCATGATGCGCACCGATACCAATAGCCATTGTTTTTAGTATGAGTAGAGATTTCAAAGATCGGGTCAAAAAATTTACTTTACCAAGACATCTCCTCTTTCTAAGCAAACCTTTATTGGATACATACACCTCAACCTGTGTGAAACCATGCTTGCATGATCACTGATCTTTTGAACCTCATGTGTATTATTGAATGTAAATGTATGTCATGTTAGTGACCTAATAGAATATCTTCAGATGAATGCAAAAGCTTAAGCCAGATAAAAGTAAAAGGGTAGGACAAATTTGGGGTATTACAGCTGCCCTTATTTAATCGTCTTAAACCTGAGAGTACAATTGGCGCATGCCTTTCGGAAGTTCAAGGTAGAAGATGATTAAATATCAATGCCAAAAATTTATTCTGGGAGAAACTGTGAGTGTTTGTTTATCTTTTGTGATATCTGTTGGGGAAAGAATTTCTTGTTTTTGGTGAGAAGAATTTATGGATGAGCCTGGAAGGTGATTGCTCCTAACATGGCAACGGTGCCGAAACGGTGTTTATAAGCCGATACGAAGAGTACTTGAAAACTGACATGACGAGCGTTAGAAGGTGACACAACGTGTGTTTAGAAATTGACACGACGGGTATTTAGAAGATGACACGACGAGTGTTTAAAAGTTGACACGACGAATGTCGGAAGGTAGCATGATACCAATGCAAGGATAGAGAAAACTTGTAACATGGCATGATGCCAATACAAGGGAGAGATCTGACTTGTAACATAGCATGATGCCAATACAAGGAAGAGATAAGACTTGTAACGTAGCATGATACCAATATAAGGAATATATGAGACTTGTAACGTAGCGTGATGACAATACAAGGAAGAGATCAAACTTGTAACGTAGCATGATGCCAATACAAGGAAGAGATCAGACTTGTAACATAGTGTGATGCCAATACAAGGAAGAGATCTAACTTTTAACGTAGCGTGATGCCAATACAAGAAAGAGATCGGACTTGTAATGTAGCGTGATGCCAATACAAGGAAAAGATCAGACTTGTAATGTAGCGTGATGCTAATACAAGGAAGAGATCAGACTTATAACGTAGCATGATGCCAATACAAGGAAGAGATCTGACTTGTAATGTAGCATGATGCCAATACAAGGAAGAGATTGGACTTGTAACGTATCATGATGCCAATACAAGGAAAGAGACCGGACTTGTAACGTAACGTGATGCCAATACAAGGAAGAGACCGGGATTGTAACATAGCATGGTGCCAATACAAGGAAGAGATCGGGATTGTAACGTAGTATGATGCCAATACAAGGAAAGTATAACAGAGACAAATGTTTGAATCGATACGGACGAGTATCGAAAGAATATAGGGACGAGTATCAAGGAAAGATAAACACGGACAAGTGTTTAAATCGATATGGACGAGTATGGAAAGAAGATACGAATGAGTATCAAGAGAGGTTAAACACCGACGAGTGTTTAAATCGATAGAAATTAGTATCGAAAGAAGATATGGACGAGTATCAAGAGAGGTTAAACACGGACAAGTGTTTGAATCGATACTGACGAGTATAGAAAGAAGATACAGACGAGTATCAAGAAAGGTTAAACAAGGACGAGTGTTAGGAAGTTTACACGATGAATGTTTATAAGGCTGAATTATTTGTCAGACGGGAACTGGCTACCAGATGAGAACTAGGTTTAGGCTTGATTTTCAGATGGGAGCTGACTACCAGATGAGGACCGAGTTTAGAATGACAAGGTGTATTGATTTTGCTGGGAATTCTGGGGTATAAGGTACTGGCATCATTAGCTGAGTATTGTGAAGATGATGGTCATTAGCTGAAGGTTTGGGGTGATATCCTCTTATGGGGATGTATTGTTTTCCTTGAATGATTCAGGTCTCTCATGTAAGGAACCCAATCTGGCTTATGCTTCATATGCATATTTAAATTCCTTTTTCCGCAAAGATCCATTCTGATGGATCGGCTACGCGCTTTCGAAGATGCAATTGTATGTAAAGATAACTATATGCAATGCAAAGGAATAGACTTCATGGGGATAAACGAAGGCTCGTTGGGAGTTGTTGATCATCATTGAGGATGCCAATACATATCAGCGCTAGAAACCTGGAATACCGAGGATCACTGGGGATACTGATAAGAATTTTTATTGGGGAGCTCATGATACCAAAGATTATTGATGACTCTGTTGGAGATTGAATTTCTAACGAAGCAAGTTTTCAGGTACGCCACTGAATTCTGAATTGCATTATTGGGGAAGAGATACTCTGGCCATACTTTCATACATCCTGAACCATTGAGAGGATGGTAGAATTGAATATGTCGAGGAATAGACACTGAACACCATGTGGATCTCTTCAAATACATGCCCCAATTTTACACCACACTTGGGAGTTACCTCTTAAGTCACTTGGGGATAAAATATGGGCATGGACACCTACGAATGCCCCGGTTTTAGCTCTGCAAATGCCCTAGTTTACTCTACCGGGGATGCCTCGATTTAGCTGTGCGGATGCCCCAGTTCAGCTCTACTGGGGATGCACTTGCGCGTGCCAAGTCAAACGGAAAATTCAAACTTTCTTAATTCACTTAGGGAATCGGGTTTGAAATTGTGTGCAGCAGATGAAGGCGACTTTACGTGTTAGCCAGGTCAAGGTGACCGTTATGAGTTGCTACCTGCAAAGAAAAACAACACTTGAAATGCATATGAAACTCCCTCATGGTTATACATCAACGTAAAGTCAAGCTTTATCTTAGGTTGGGAATTTTTATTCACCATGTTTCTAATGCAGTGTTTAATAGTGAATAAAACACATTCTGCATACGAAAAACATTTTTATGATAATAAAAGATAACTTTTTGATGAAAGCAAACTTTATTGATTGGCTCATGAATAAGCATTTGTACAAGGATGCAACTCCTATATGAGGTAGTTGCGAAAAAGAAACGGAAAATATAACAAGTATAAATGGCAATGAGAGATGCTCGAATTTCCATTAAAACCGGTATTGCTACAGTTCCCATAACCTCAGTAGTCTCAATTCCTTGCCTCTGAAGAGTAGCAGTTGGACCAATCGATTCACTACCAAGGTGCTAAAGATGTGCATGTGTTATTCATGAAGAGTGTTTAGGCTACAGCCTCTCACTTACAATCCCTAATTTTTGCTTAGACCACCCTTTCGGGTTTTCGATCCAACGAGATACCCTTTTTTTGCTTAAGTTTCCCTTTCAGGTTTTAGACTTAGCGGGTTATCATCTTTTTTCACTTTATGCCTAATATTTTCCTGTACTTTTATGTCCACCGGGATGCCCATTTTTTCCTAGGTAGCCCTTTCGGGTTTTCGACTTAGTGGGTCTCTTCATGCGTTATATTTTTTTACTGAGTCTGAATTGACTGGGAGTGGAACGTCTTCCCCATCCATGTTTTTCAGGATTAGAGCACCTCCTGAAAAGGCTCTCTTCACGATATATGGTCCCTCGTAATTTGGAGTCCATTTTCCCCTTGGATCGGAATGGCTTTTCACGATAACCTTTCTCAAGACCAAATCACCAGGATAAAACTTCTGAGGACGGATCTTTTTGTCAAATGCTCTATTCATCCTCTGTTGGTACAATTGGCCATGACAAATGGCTGTTAGGCGCTTTCCGTCAATCAGATTGAGTTGGTTGAATCTTGTCTGAACCCACTCCACCTCGTCAAGCTTGGTTTCCATTAGAACCCTCAACAAAGGGATCTCTATTTCGACAGGAAGCACTGTGTCCATACCAGAGACAAGAGAAATTGGAGTTGCCCCAGTCGAAGTACGCACAAACGTTCTGTAGCCATGGAGAGAAAAAGGAAACATTCCATGCCAATCTTTGTATGTTCTGACCATCTTCTGGATGATCTTCTTTATGTTCTTGTTAGTAGCTTCGACTGCACCGTTCATCTTTGGCCGATATGGTGATAAATTATGATGTTCGATTTTGAACTCTTCACATAACCCCTTCATCATGTTGTTGTTAAGATTAGAATCATTTTCAATGATGATTTTTTGAGGAGTTCCGTAACGGCATATGATTTCCTTCCTGATGAAGTTGGTAACGGTCATTTTGGTTACATTCTTGTAAGAGGCTGTTTCCACCCATTTGGTGAAGTAATCAATAGCCACTAGAATGAACCTATGACCATTTGAAGCACTGGGCTCGATCATTCCAATCATGTCAATGCTCCACATTGCAAACGGTCATGGGGAAGTCATAATATTCAAAGGAGTTGGAGGAGCATGAATTATGTCTGCATACACTTGACATCTGTGGCACAACTTTGCATATACACAAAAATCACTCTCCATCATCGTCTAGAAGTACCTTACACGGAGGATTTCCTTTTCCATAGAATGCCCGCTTGAATGAGTCCCGAAAGAACCCTCATGAATTTCCT